GTGCTGTGCACGAGAATTGGCATTATGCATAGCGGGTGCTTGGTTGCGATCGGAAGTGCGCAGCATATCAAATCGAGGTGATCGTTTAACTTCGATTTGACACTGTTTTTACTGGTCATTGTTGGATCGGTCATTTGGGCTGCGAGTTCAGTGTTGTTTCCAACTTCGTAGACAATCATCAAACATCATTTCTGATTTGAAGATTCATTCTGATAGACAATCATCTAGCGATTATAACGCAGTATTTTTCGACGATTTCTGTGATGTACTTGATTGCTCTGTTGTGTCCATTTTAAGCACTTCCATGAGCCGAAAGTTTCATTTCATTCTTTTTTTTAGTAGAATCCAAATTTTCTGGTTGAGAAAGTCAAAATAGCTGCTTATCGTTTGTACAGGTATGGAGAAGGATATACACTAACGTTTACAATTACGGATAGTTCGATAGGGGATGATCTCGTCAATGAAGTGCGATCTGTATTTCCGAATGCCGTTTTAAGAACAATACAAAATTCAACACATATGGTTTGGCATCTTGCTAGGTCGGATAGTGACAGGTGACTGGATTTATTTGCTTTATCATTTTTGATGTTAATCGGTGGGAACCACTATTTGTCAACCGATATCAGTTGTTGTTACTCTTAAAAAAGAGAAACTCAAATGAGCGCTGAGTGTGTCTCTTTTTAATCACTCACTGAAAAGACGATCGCTGTCCCTTCTTGACGCGTATCAAGCACTTGGTCAATATCAGGTTTTCCTTTTAGTATCTTCCAAATACTAGTGACCACAATCACAATACTGATAACTTTAAATGAACAAAATAATATTTCAGATGGTCAGAGCTGTTCGCAAAAGCACGTAATTTAGCTGATTCGAAGTCTTGGATAACGGATTATTCTTTGGCACAAGCAACCCTAGAAGAAGCATTCTTAAGGCTATCTCAAGCGAATGAGAGCGATGTTGCTCAACAGACCGTTGTGAGTATTACAGCCAGTTCAACGTCACCTCGTGCCGATGGATTGTAAAAGTTTATTGTTAAAGTGGAAATTGATCGATTGATTTGATCGGTTTTCGATTGCTTGGGGAGAGTATTGTTCGTTCAGATCTTTTGTCATTATAGTATTAGCAGAGATTGCTTCTCTGTGTTGTGTTGAAGTTTCGTTATTGATGCGAATGCTTAATGATGTTCTGTGATTTTACTCGTTAAGGGCATTAAGAATGACTTGTAAAGCTGATGATCGGCAGCATTTACAAAGAGGAGAGATTCGCGGCTGTAATTTTAGTAATAGTAACGTTGCTTCAGATGGTCAGAGACGTTTGAAAAGTTGTTATTTGGCTAAGAGATTATCATGGATAAGTGATTACCTCTTAAGCCGACCCTTTGGAAACGGCATAGTTTTGTTAATTCAATCTTAATGCTCTGTTGTGTTTACGTGCAACGAATGAGTTTTGTAATATATTAGTGAAACATAAGAACCTTTTTCTACTTAACGGGATATGATGTTAATAATTGTATATACTTTTCTGTTATCTGTCATGTGACTTAGGTTTTTTTCTATTGACTTCTCGAATCTCATGCAAAACTTTCAAGGGATTTTGTTGTGGCCGCTTCAGCTGAATTTAAATTTAAATTTTTTGGATTTTTAAACATCAATCGAAAGCTTTGTTTTAATTGAAAACATTATGCATTTAATTTCTCAAAATTGATATACGTGAACTAGGTGTGCATTTGCTTATGATTGCACAACGCTTGAAACTTTATTATTTGTCATAGAAAATCGGCAGATCATTTTGCGGTTTTCGGAAATAAATTGAATGATGTTTTTTTCTAGATGTATATATGTGAACTCTATTTTCACTGTCGTTGTTGTGCTAAGAATTCTGTGAAGCTTGGAAATACGCGAAGCTGATTGTTGGTTTATGATTCGAAGTGTGCTGATTGTATGAGTGACAGCTGGAGTCGCTCACACGGTCAGTACAGTTCGAATATGCAGAGAGAGCTTAATTTTTTTAGTAATTGATGATTATGTGGAATTTTGATATGCTTTTATGTGTATACGTTGACATTCACTTCATTCTCTTTTGTGAGAATTATTTTCGTTGGTTTGTGTTGTTATTGTTTTTTCTTCGCGTAATTTCCTTCTCTCAATTGATATTCCACGTTCTCTTTGAGACTTTCTTGTAAATACACTAATAATGTTCTTTTATTTTTTTCTATTTCATTCTACTGATAATGTTCGATAAAATATCTTCGGAGTTCGATGAGCAAATGGTTCGTTTTAACTTCACAGAACTTTCAACATCACATAGAGAGTGTTCATTTTATTGCTGATCACTGTTGCTGAAATTTTGATTGGAATTAATTTGTAGCTGAAAATGACTAGAATTTGTACAACGAGAGAAATTTGACGTTTCATTAAGCCGTGCTCTTTTGTCCACGTTCCTTCATCTGTGATCCATCGGAACATGAATCTTTTTTTCTAAGAAAACCCTCATTTAATGGCTACATATCTTCGAACGTGGGCTTACAAATTTTTGTGATTCTCTATCCGATCCAGTTTGGACATTGAAGTAATGCAATTATGTCATAATCTTGTGGAACAGAACTTTTTTTGTTCAAATGTTAGCTAGTGTTTTTGTGAATCCCTTATCAATCCAATTGAATTCGTTCTGTGATGAAGTGATTTTTTGCCATGTATGGTGATGAGCGTTAATGACACAGTAATTTAACTAATTTAAAATTCATGTTAGTGATTGGATTTGAGAAACTGAATTCAATGAGTTATTTTAATTGCGGATTTCTTTGTTATTCCATCTCAGAAGATGATAATTAGCAGAAGAATAATTTACGATGCACTTTTTCAGCCTTTCCGAACATCACATCTCGCTGTGCACGGAAATGAACACCATGCAACTGGTGTTCATGGAACCTCTCTTTTCAATGTAGCAACAGTTCATGCAATCACAAAACAGCACATGTCTTTGTTGTCATCGTCATCACCTCTCGATGAATTCAATCCATTTTGCTTTTTATTTTTGAAGTTTTCTTATGCTGAATTATTGTACTGCGTTTGAAGAAGACAACTGGACTAGGTATCACTTCATTACAATATCACTGCATTACGACCAGAAATATGCTACTTGTTTTGCAACGATGCATTTGTAAGGAAACGAGATTGAATTGAAAAGTGTCGTTTGGTTGATTAATTGACGAAGGAAGATTTACGAGTGGAGAATAAATTGAATTTGAGTGCTCGATTGAGATGCAAGTAAAGAATAATAGGGCAGTAGTGATGATATGGTTAGCATGCGACTGGGGACAAATGTGCAGTGAGTGCATCCGTATAAGAGCATTTACTGCTTGATTCTTAATCGTATATATTGATGTTTGCGAGTTGAGATGCGTACCGTTGTGAGCATTATGTCAGTTTATTAATCACGTCAACATATCGAACTTTACTCATCAACAATTGTTCATATTCAAGTAAACGTTTCAATCGTGATGAGGCGAGTGACGATTCNCAACAATTTCCTATTTGATATTCGCTGCCAATGAACTGATAACCACCAATTTATTCTGATCACCACCACATCATTAATACCAAAAACTCTCTCCACAATCTCTTTCCCATCTCCCTGACTATGTTTTTTCCTCAGTCAAATCATAAAATCTTTGAAATTGTGACGTTTCGAACGGAAACCATATGAATTCAACGTTTCAATGACATATTACAATAATAATACTGCAAATTGGTGTTATTTGCGGTGAATACAAAAAATTCGACAAACTCACTTGAACGATACTTCGGTCAAACAATGATGCATTATTAAGTCTGGTTGTGAGTTTTCAATTGATATTTGAATACTTCAACGGTTGTAACTTTGAACATATTCATTAAATTGTACTTTTTTTGTTATCTCTTCGTTTTTTTAGAATTGAAATCGTTATGTGAACTAAGAATAGGATCGTTAATGATGTGAATCTTTACAAGCACCTTGCAAGCATAGAACCGCTGTTAGCTCTAATAGATTGTTGAAGATGCTTATTGGGCTAATAGTGACACTTCAAATTGATGTGTTGAAAGTGCTCATCCGTATGACATTTTTCGATTCGTTGATCTATTCTACTGGATTGACAATTATAATGATGTAGAATTTAGTTTTCGATTGATGGTTTCATCTAATAATTCATTACATTTTCCGAAGTCAATCATTTTGATCTAATAAAGTTTATTTATTCAATGCATGGCGGTGTTTTGTAGACAAGCAATGGACATTACAAAATATCTTGTTATTGAAATAGTAATTNGCATTATTGAGGCATTAATGCTTGCTATTGTATTGTATAATTACAATTATAATTAAATGCATCAAATGCATGAAATTAATTGGAATTAAGTGAATACGGTTTATTGTGAGGCATGGATCAATTACTGAATGTCTGCTTGAAACATAGCTTTTGCACATAACAATCACTTCAGCCTTCAAGAGGAAATTTCAGTTCGACACTGCTGCAACAATTTCTGTTTCAATTAAGTGAATGAATTCCTCGTATCTTCATTTCCTAATTGATTGTCCCTTCTGTGATCCAGCTACCAATTTTAACAATGCTCCCTCCTTATATGGCATAATCCGCAGACACACTCTGCAGATCCTAATCATTTGCATTCGTTGTCTTCTTATATTTGCAATTATGATCACTCAATGATAGGCGTACACAAATAGTGGGTTGTAAACAAACTTATAGTTAATAGAAACGACCCAAGAAAATTGATATGGATATGTTGTCTATCTAGCCCGAGGTAAGTATCAGTCGAATATATGCTCCGATATGTCATCAACAATCCATTAATATTCATCAAATTCGTCATTATTAATTTCGTTAGACTTATGATGTATGTAAGTGATCAAGTCTGTTCCAAACGCAACATCGAGTATCGGATGCATCTGTAATGCTTTCATGAATGTTCTGCACGAACAACAACGATAATTTTGTAATGCTGATTTCATAGTGTCATAAGTTCATGATTTTGCAATTGCATTATACTTTAATTGATTGATTACGTAACATCAGCTGACTGTATTTGATGGATTTACTATGTGAATCACGTGAAGACCAACATATATATGAGCATGTTCACCATACCCCAAAAGCACGATTACTATGGTCATTTAATGTTTCGATTTTATCAAATTGCCCAATGTATTCGTGAATAGAAATTGTCTAAATCAAATTGTTCTGAATAAAAGCGCACAAAAAAATGCCCTCTAAGAAGCTTTCCAAAGGAGACTCAGATGTTGAAAACACAAGGAATGCATGATTCGTTTATGCTAAACGCATAAAAGATTTTGCGCAATGTCAATGAAATATTCTTCAATAAACATTCTTCAAATGCATTATCCATTTCAGTTCACATCAAATCGATTCGCTTTGCTGCGATGAGAATCAATCGTTTATTCACTTAGAATTATTATTGGGTATTTTCAGTGGGTCGAAAATATTCGAGACAATCGCTGGACTGTAGCAATCGTTCGTTGATAAGTTAAAGTTCCATGATATGGAATTTTTTGGAAATGATACTGAATCGTTTCCAAAATGATACGATTCAGCATCCTGGATTGTGCAGGTAATCCAGGATATTGAATCGTTGCCGAATATTTGTTGCCGTAAGTAAAACTAAAATTGATCGCATTTCGTTGTTCCATTCTATTTTTCACAATTCTCTCGGATATTTTTCTGGCTTAGCGCAGTTATTTGTTTCGAATTACAACCAATAATCTTGTTGAGTGATTTCAATAAAATTTCTTTTAATAAAAATTCAATAGTTCAGTGAAAATTCTTCGAATGCATTGCCCATTTGAGTTCACATCAAATCGAGTTCACTTTTCACATCCAATTCACTTTTTCCACTCGCAAATAGTTTATTCATTTCGAATATTGTGTTGTTTAATTACTGGATCGACGAAACAGTTTGCAGCAATTCTGTTATTCACTGCGGTTATTTTTTT